ACAGTGAGGACACTGCCCTATAACACCCACAGCTCCTGTGGGACAGTGAGGACACTGCCCTATAACACCCACAGGGACAGTGAGGACACTGCCCTATAACACCCACAGCTCCTGCAGCCCCTGACCCAGCTCAGACAGGGACAGTGAGGACACCACCCCTCACCCTGGCCTAGAACCCCAGAGTGGCTGGTGGGTCAGAGACCCCCCTGGAGCAGATAAAACCAAAGACCAGAGCAGATAAAACCAAAGGCGTGTGTTTGCCACGTGGCCCTGCTTCTGGACATGGAAGAACTGGTCTTCCACAGGATCCCAGCTCTATAAGCTGTCTCTCCCTCTTCCCCCTCCCCTCTTCTTTCTCCCTCTGCTTCTCCTTCTTTGCTCCTTTCTTAATGCTGTATGTGGCTTGGAGCTGGAGGGATTAAATCTTGACTTAAGTGTTGTGGATCACTTGGATCTTGACTTAAGTGTTGTGGATTAAAATGTGCTGAGTTGGTATTGTAGTAGAACCTTTTTTCTAGCTTTTTAAACCTTTGCCAAGTGCCCTTATTTTCTCCCCTAAATTAATAAAGGTACCACTTGGGAACAAGCCCGTGGCTTATTCTCTTAATGCCTTCTCAAGGTATTAAAGAACCCTATATATTAAATATATATGTATATAATAATGTACATAAATATATATTAAATAAAACTCCTGACTGAGCCTGTGTGCAAACAGCTCCAGAGCTGGAGTGTCACAGGGCACTGCCACAGCCCTGGGAAGGAGGGTGACCTCCTTCCAAGGTGTCCCGAGGTCTCCATGTCAGGAGAGCACCACAACCTGTGAGCACTTTGAATTGGCACCAGGAGCCTGGGTTGTTTCTCTCCTTTTGTGGAGCAATTCCTTCTCTTTCTGGCTTGGCCTTGGGTGGCTCCTTCCCCCTTGGAAGCAGCAGGATGAGAGCTGAGAGCTGATGCCTGTGCACAGCCCCCTCCTGCTCCTTCCTTCCAAACCTGGGGCTTATCCTGGAAGGGCAGCACAAGGAGCAGCTTAGTAGGAGTTCTGCATTTAATTGTGAGTCCTGGCTTGGTTTTAACTCGTGGTTTGTCCGTGGTCAGATCACCAGTTTAGAAACAGAGTTGCTTGAGGTGCAGAAGAACAGAAGTGAGATGGACAGGAAGGAGCAGGCGGCGTCTGGAGCGCAGGAGATGCAGGAGGTGAGAGCTTTCCCCTGGGAAATCAACTCTTTTGTTTAGGGATGTCTTAGGGAACATCTTAAACGAGCATCTCAAGCGACTCTCTCCTGGGGATGCTCTTTATCAGCATCTCCTGGGAATTTGGAGTCCCTCAGCTCCTGGAGGCAGAGGGATGTTTTTGGAAGAAAGGAGCCAACGTGCCCAAGTGATCTTCATGAAAAGTCATCTCCCTTAGGAGCTGGTCTGGCCTTCAGCTCTGCAAGCTGAGCAGTTTGTTGTGAGGGTGAAGGTGTTACCTGTGTGAAGGTTCTCAGTTCTTGTTTAGGGTTCAGGGAAACCAAGGGGTCTGTAGGTGCATTTAAAGCTGCTTCCCAGCAGGTCCATTTGTTCCCAACGACTGGATCTTCCTGATGTTTCAGCTAGACAGAGCTGCTTACAAGTGGGAGAGGACCTTCCCAAGGGATCTTGGTCAGTAGAGGCTCCAGGCCTTCGGAGAGGTCCTGCCAGCCCTGGGTATGAGATGCAGGAATCCCCCTGAAAATTTTTGAGAGCCTTTTTTCTCCTTTCTGTGTTCCCTAGAAGACACATTTCCTGCAATTTGTTTTTCTTTGGGTAGAATAAAGGATGCTGGAGAAGAGACTCCTAATGTTTCTTATTCTAGATGTTGGAAAGCTGTCAGGAAACCATAGACAAGTTGGGAAATCATCTGGGAGAGCAGAGGGAGAGGAGGAGGCAACTTATATCTGAGCTTGAGCTGCTGAGAGAGGATCTGAAGGCTGAGAAGGGGGTCCTGGGCAGCCAGGTATGTGGGACTCCCTGAACAAGCCAGTTCCCTTTGGATGCTCCATAAAATCCAGCAGTTCCTCCCCAAGCAGGTGATTTGACTTGGTGCTTTTCTCCAGTTTGAAACCTTTGGCAGAGGGTTTTCAGTCCATCTGTTTTCATGGTACTGTCTCTAATTCCATCATTTGTTTTTCACTTCAGTGGATCTAATCCCAAAGCAGTAATTCCAACTTTGCAGCCAAACCCTAAATTCTCTGGGGGGCAGAGTGGGAATTTTCAGACTCGGGTGTTTATTGCAGGAGTCAGAACACCCCAGAGCCACAGGAGGTGACATGAACATCCTGCTGGGATCCCTCCTGGGATGTTCCCCAGGGACCTCAGCACATTTTGCTCGAGCCAGTTTAATTGCTAAATCCACTCCTGGGGTGTTCTCCCTGCTGGGAATGTTGCTGGAGCTCTTGGCTTCCAGCTGGGCCACAGAGGAGAGACAGTTTGTGGTGCCAACCAAGCTGCCCAAGGGCTGGACAAGGGCTGGAAGTTAGGCTAAAAATCCAGAAGAGCTGCAGATCCACAGCCTGGATCAGGCAGACCTGAGGGAAACTGGAAAAGGGGGGGTTCCATCCGGGATAAATCCCACATTTTAGCTCTGAGAGGCCTTAAATCAGCTCTGAGTCCAGTCACCTCCTTGAATGCAAGTAAAAAACCATGGAATTCCTGAGCTGTTGGCACAACTCCAGAGACACAGGAGTTGCTGGAGGAACAGTGGCATCTACAGGCCAGGGCTTTGTCCTGCTGCAACAACTCCACACTGCAAACTGGGGTGGAAATCAGGCCTGCAGAGCTCTGGATACAAACCTGGTGGGAGAGTGGGGGAGGAAAGGGCTGGAAAGGAACTGTGTGATGTGGGGGGTGCTGGGGGAAATGGGAAGAGTCCTTTTTTAACCCTTGCATCCCAATAGTTCAACCCCCTCATGGACCATTGGATCAAAATCACCCATCCCCGAAAATCTGATTGGAATTCAACCACCAGCTGCTGGTGGCTTTGCCAAAGGAGGGACTGTTTTTCCACCCAAGGGATCATGGGGTGAGATGATCCCATGATCCCCTGTGTTAGACTGGAACAGCCTTTAGCACAGAGACCCTTTTGGGTGGCATTTCTGGCTTCCCACATGGGCTCATTCCCTTTGGATGGAGCAGCTGGATTGGGATGAATTGTTTCCCAACAGTGCTGGAAATGAGCTTGGCATGAAATCATTGGGTTCCCTCAGCTGGAATTATCTTGTTTTCACGAGGTTTTTGGATATTTGAGAGGAGAAAACTTTTCCTGAGCTTGTCCTTCGGGGTGTGTTTCATCCACTGACTCCTGCTGTTTCCTCTCCAGGGGTTTCCTGACTCCCAGTTGGAGCTTCCAAGCCCCAGTAACACCTCCCCTGGTCTCCAGAGGACATCAGCCAGCAGGGATCTCATGGATGTGTCCCATGAGAAGCACAAGGACAGTGCTTTGTTAGACCCAGAGGTGAGGCATGGAAAGAAATCCTGGTTGTCCCAGGGCCTGGAGCAGACAGGAGCTGCTGGGGCTCAGGTCTGAGTGGATTCATCCTGGGGGAGATAAGACCACCTGAAATCGAACTTCCAGTGCTCAGGAAGAGCTACTAGTGAAAAACCTGTAGGAATCAATGTTTTTGCTGGTGTTTAGTGGGGAGAACAGTGTCTGAAGGGTTTGGGTTCACCACTGGAGATATTAGTCCAGGCAGGTTCAGGTTCTGATCCAGCCTGGGAATTCCTGTATCCTGACACGTTCCTGCTCTTTTGGCCCTTTTATTTTCTTTTTATTCATCCTGGTGAAGATAAGACCACCTAGAACTGAACTTCCAGTGCTCAGGAAGAGCTATTGGTTAAAAATGTTTAGGAATCAACGTTGTTGCTGGTGTTTAGTGGGGAAAACAGTGATTGTGTGTGAAGGATTCGGGTTCACCACTGGAGATATTAGTCCAGGCAGGTTTGGGTTCTGATCCAGCCTGGGAATTCCTGTATCCTGCACATTCCTGCTTTCCTGCCCCTTCTATTTTCTTGTTGTCTTCTCTTCCAGTCTCAGGTTTGGGGGCAGTTTTGTCTGGTGTTCCAGCGTGGGGTGATGTTGGGGTGGAGAGCAGCCACCCCTGGAGAGGATTTTGGGTAGTCTGGACAGGGGATCTCTCTGGGATCCAGCTGAATCCACACCTTCCCTGAGAACTGCTGGTTTTGTCAAGAGATTTGGCACATGCTGTAAAACCCTGGGAGCTGCAGATGGGCCACAGTGGGATGAAATCAAATAAAGAACCATGACTTGGTGGTGGTTCACACACAGCTACTGCCCCTGCAGGAGGAAGGACTCCAAGAACTGGGATAATTTAACCACAGAATCACAAGCTGTGTCTTGCTGGAGCCCCCAGATTGCCTTGCACTGGCTCAAAAGATTTCCACCAGAGCAAAGGAAATCCAAGTCCTGGTGTTTTCTGACCTTACAGGCCTCTGAAATCCTACAAGATGAGCAGAGTCACAGAGAGGAGCAGACACAGGAAGATCCCCATGGAGATGCAAAGACCTATGAGGAACAGATGGCTAAAGTTGTGTTTTTGGAAGAACAGATCAAAAGCCTGAGGGAGGAACAAGAGCTGCTCTGGTAAACCTTCCCAAGGCCTGTGGTATTTTCTGCTCCTTGTCTTTGCTGACTTAATTGCTGAGTCTTTTCTGGCTCCCTGTCCTGGAGAGAACAGGCCCAGCAGCTTCGTGTCCTTATGGGATCAGTGTCTGATTTTGGGGAACTCCCTCAATGACATCAGGAGCAGCCAGGAGCAAACCTTTTTTTCTGCAGCTATGACAGGTTCTGAGCAGACTAAACGAGAGCTGTCCTTAGGGAAGAGGATTTATCCCTTGGAGTCAGGTGGTGTTTGGAGTAAGAGGGTCCAAATACTTGGACTTAGTCCAAATATTTGGATGAAGGGGGTCCCAAAAAAGCTCCAGTCATGGGTTTGGGCTCCTCAGGGCCAATGGCTGCCAGCAGTGGTGGTCCTCATGCTGCTGTGGATTTTGGGAGTCCCTGGAATTCAGGTGTCCTTGGAGAGTAGGTGTCACCAGGTATTGATCTGACTCCCCTTTTTGGTAGTGAGGAAAAGCTTGGATTAGATCCAGGGTGGTTACAGCCAGTGAGATCAGTGAGTCCAACCATTCCCCCAGCACTGCCAGGGCCACCACGAACCCAGGTCCCCAAGGGCCACATCCACACAGTCACTGAACACTCCCAGGGGTGGTGATTCCAGCACTGATTCCAGCCTGTGCCAGTGCCTGAACATGTAGGCCATGGAATCATGGAGTGGTTTGGGTTGGAAGGGACATTAAAGCTCATCTCATTCCACCCCCATCCATGAGCAGGGACACCTTCCATTATCCCAGGTTGCTCCAAGCCCCATCCAACCTGACCTTGGACACTTCCAAGGATGGGAAATCCATAAATTCTCTGGGAAACCCACTTCAGTCTCACATTACCCTCACAGGGAAGAATCTGTCCGTAATATCCCATCTAAACCAACACAGGGAATCCTGGAATGGTTTGGGATGGAAGGGACCTTTAAGATCACCCAGACCTTGGGCAGAGACATTTCCACTATCCCAGGCTGCTCCAAGACCTGTCCAACTTGGCCTTGGACACTTCCAGGGATGGGGCAGCCCCCACTTTGAGTTTGGATGGAGATAATGGAGACAGTTTGGATGAAGGTGTCAGACAGGGACCGGCAGACCTGAGCCCCTCCTTTCAGTGCTTCCCTGTGTCTTTGGAGCACGGAGCAGCTCCCACCCCATGCAGGGTTCCCTTGGCCAGTCTGTGACCTCCTCCCAGGGAGGGCTGAGCCTCTGGACACACGTGGTTTTGTGGTACAGTGTCCCAAGGAGACTGACCTTTGCCCAGAACTGCTGCACACAGGAGTAAATCCCCTTTGGAGCCTCCCGAGGTACTTGAGCCTTCGCTGGACTCTCACATCCCAAGTTTTTCCCTTTTATGGGTGCTTTCCCTGGGATATGTGTAGTCATCTCTCTCCTTTACTATTTCCCCTTCAAGCTCTGAGTTATTAGAGAGCAACAAGAAGAAGGAAGAGCTGGAAAAGCAGCTCAAAGAGAGCAATGAAGAGAAAAGGATGTTGCTGGAAGAGATTTCCCAGCTCAAGCACAACATCCGGAGCGCCCGGGAACAGGGAGACACTGGAGAGACCTGGAGGATGAGCCCAGGCTTGGAGCAAAGGGAGAGCAGGTTCCTGCCATGGCAGAGCTCAGCAGGCAGTTTAGATGGGAGCCTTAAACAGGTATGGGCAGCTTTGCCATCTGCACCCTGATTTTGGTCACTAATTGGGTGGGAAAACCTAATTAAAGTGGGCTGGAAGGCAGTCCAACCCTTGGAAATTAGGGATGGCTTCCTTTCCTTGTGTGGTGCTTTGCATGTGGTGGGAACTTGGATAAAGTCAGTGCCCATGGCAGAAATAAGGGATTTAAATGGTGTTTGTTCCCCTTTCTTACCTTGTGAGCTGGAAGAGAAGGGCAGGAGCAGGAATCCCTGCCAGGAGGGGTGGGAATGGTGGGGGAACCCAGGGTGGGGAGGCTGAGGAGGAAAAGGATTCTGTGCGAGGGTTTGGATGGGAAGAGAGGACTGGGTGACCTGTGGGCAGGAGTGGGAGTGGAAAGGAGAGGACTGGAGTTGTGCCGGATCCAAGAAGCAGCAAATCCCTGCAGGTGGAGCAGAGCAGGACACAAGGGAATGCTGGAAAGGGAATGCTGGAAAGGATCCTGATAGAAGTAGATGAGGGGGAAAAAACCCACAAAACTTCATGGATCTCGAGGACAACTGCCACTGCCAGACCCCACAGTGCTGGATCAAGACCTTTCCCAGCTTGGGGAATTATCTGGGGAGGTATTTAAGAAGGGAAGCTTGGCCTTCAGTGGATTCCCTCTAGTGCCAAGAGCAGAGGGAGAGGATGCACAGCGGGAATTCAGATCCAGATGTGGCTGGAAGCGATGCTGGGAAGAAGGGCTTTGGTACAACCCAAGCAGAGCTTTTGGTCCATGTGCCAGGCCCTTGCAGGAAGGTGGGTGGTCCAAGGAGCTCCAAAAGCCACCCCAGACCATCGGTGACACCTCAGGGTGTCGGGGCTGTCACAGTGTGTTCCTGCACCACTGCCAGGAGTCCCCGTGTTCCTGTTCCCTCTTGGAGCTGGGCTGGATGTGCTGCTCCTGCTTGGTTGCCTCAGTTGGATTCTGACACGAGAGTTCAGAGTGACCTGGTGGCTTTCTTTGGTTGGAAGGGGTCATTTTATCAGGTGTTTGTTCCCTCATCCGGGTTTTCACATGTTCTCCCTCGACCTCAGGAGTCAAGTTGGCTTCTCTGAGGGGATGGACAGAACCATGGAATCACTGAGCTTGGCAAAGCCCTCTGAGATCATAACCCAGCACTGCCATGTTCACCACAAACCACATCCCCAAGTGCCACATCCCCACCCACGGCTTCTAAACCCTTCCAGGGCCACTGTGGGGGGGCAGAGGAGTGCCAGGCTTTGCCCATCTTCCTGCTTAAATGCCCTTGAATACCTTCCTTGCTAACAGCCTTTATCCTTCCCTGGAGCTGGTGTCCACCTGACCCGTGGTGTTGTGCTGTTCCCTCAGGGTCTGTCTGAGGAGAAGTTCCAGCAGCAGGAGGAGAAGCTGCAGCAGCTGCGCCAGGACCTGCGGCGGGTGCAGAACTTGTGCAGCTCCGCCGAGAGGGAGCTGAGGTACGAGAGGGAGAAGAACGCAGAGCTCCAGAAACAGAACCTGCTGCTCCAGCAGGAGTGCACCAAGGTAGGAACAGCTCTCAGCTCCGTGGGAATTATGGCCCCTCTGCTGTGGAAACAGGCTGGGAGAGCCCGGGGGGGTTAACCCAGAGAAGGCTCCAGGGAGAGCTGAGAGCCCCTTCCAGCATCTAAAGGGGCTCCAGCAGAGTTGGAGAGGGACTGGGGACAAGGGATGGAGGACAAGGGGAATGGCTTCCAACTGCCAGAGAGCAGGGTTAGATGGGATATTGGGAAGGAATTCCTCCCTGGGAGGGTGGGGAGGCCCTGGCACAGGGTGCCCAGAGAAGCTGCGGCTGCCCCATCCCTGGGAGTGTCCAAGGCCAGGCTGGATGGGGCTTGGAGCAACCTGGGCTGGTGGAAGGTGTCTCTGCCCATGGCAGGGGGTGGAAATGGATCATCTTTAAGGTCTAGTGGAAGGTGTCCCTGCCCATGGAATGAGGTTGAGCTTTAAGGTCCCTTCCAACCGAAACCCCTCTGGAATTCCATGAGAAATTTCCCTGCCTCCAAATAAAACCTGCTGCACTTCCTCCCTGATCCCTCTTTTGCTCCCAGTCCCCTTTCCTACCCAAGCCATTCCAGCTGATCTTTGCTGAAGTACAAACTCCATTTCTTCTTTGCAAACTCAGGTCAAAGCTGAGCTGAAACAGGCCCGGGCCAAACTCTCAGACTCCACAGAAACCTGCTCATCCCTGTCAGCACAGTGGGAGAGGAGCCAGCAGAAGGTCAGGGAGCTGGAGCAGAAGCTCTCCAAGTGCTCCCAGGCTGACAAGCTCCACAGCAGCCTGAGGGACAGGCTGGCCCAGGAAAAATCCAGGGCAGGAGAAGCCCAGAAAAAGGTGAATGTGAGCTGGGGAACAGGAGGGGTGTGTTTGGCAGGAGCAGCTCAGGAATTGGTTCCCCAAAGTCCATTTTGGGATCACTCAGATAAATATTGTAGAAAGAAAGTTGATTGTTAGTGAGAAGGGAACAGAAGCCGAGTGTGATGGCTCAGTATCTCTGAAATGCTGGGACTGGGACTGGCAGGCACAGGGAGCCTCAATCCTGTTCTTGCCAAGCAGATTTCCTGCTGTTTGCTGGCTGGAAATTTCCAAACCCTTGTGTTTCCCGTGGCACTGATTCTGCTGTGCTCCTGCAGGAATCTCTGGAGTCAGTTTTGAAGTTTACAGGATCAAATTGGATCCCAAAAGAATTGTTGCCAGTTCATGACACACCCTCTGATCCAAGACCCAAAATCTACTTGGCCATTCCAGAAGTTTTGCTTTCCGTGGACTTTGACTCAAAACAAGGAAAGCTTTCCTTCCCAAGTCCCAGACGTGGAGGGATCAAAGCGACCTGGTGCAGACACTGGTTTATACATTCAGAAATTTAGTCCATGTCCTTTTTCCTCCAAGATTTCCAAGCTCCAGCAGAAGCTGAAGGATTCCCAGCACCAGCTCCTGCTGGCAGAGGCCCGTGTGTCCGACAAGAAGCTGCTGGAGGAGGAGCTGAAGGAGGCCCGGGAGAACGAAGCTCGAGTGCAGCGGGAGCTCCACGAGGGGCAGCTGAAGAGGTGCTTGAGCTCTCCTGCCAGTCCACGGGAACTGCAGCTCCTGGGGGGATGAGGGAATCCCAAACCACTGGCTTGACCTCCCCTTTGGATCTGCCACATCCCTGGCAGAGCTCCAGGGATTCCCTCTTGGAGATTTAAAAAATTGTTGGAGACTTCAGCTGCCTCGGAAGGCCCTTGGCCTCTCCTGCCAGTGCAGGGATACCAACAACCCCTTCCTGTGGAGCTGGGATGATGATCCCAGTGCATTATCCACTCTTTTTCATGTCACTGGGACATGGCGTCACAACCCAGAAGGGGAGAGTAACCCAGATTCTGGTTAATAAATCCCTTGGGGGGGATTAGAGCGAAAGGACACTGAATAATCAGTGTTTTTAAACATAAAATATATATGTAGGGATTATTTTGGAACAATTTTGTTTCAAAGGTAAACAGGTGTATTGCTGTTTTCAGTGTTATTATCTATAGTAATACAGCAGTATTAAAGCATCTATAGCAACCTTAAAGCATAAAAATAACACTTAAGGAAGTGCATAAGGCAAGGAAGAGAAAGAAAGGATAAAGGTGGAAAGCTGTTTGTAGTCACTGCCTGCTGGATCCAGAGATGAAACTTGGGAGTTGCAGCTTCCATGTCTGTTGGTCTGTTGGTTGGGAAGCCCCCCCCAAAAGTCAAAGATTTCATGAGTAATTATACTCTTCCAGCTCAGGTGGGAACACCTTGTACTTCCTCAGGCAGTTTTCCCATGGATCCTGGGGTGTTTTCCCATGGATCCTGGGGAGTTTTACCATGGGTCATGTCAGTGGACACGTCACAAATTTTCGATGCTCCCCGGAGGGGTTTTCACAGCAGAGTAACCATGTGAGGGAGGACATTGGTGTGATAAGAATGATTATCCCACCTTGCAGGATTTGCCTCTTCTTAGCCTCTTCCCAAATCCAGTTTGTAGCTCCAGGTGTGCATCTGCACCCGGGATAGCTGGACATTGGCACCCACTTAACTGCTCTGGAGGTCCTTCCCCAGTAGGATATTCAGGGAGGGGTGGGCTTTGCTGGGTGAGCAGCTGCTTCTCTTCAGTTTGCAGAAGTCCTTTGGTGACCTTACAATGTGTGAGCCATTAACTATTTCAGTGGGATTTTGGTGGGGACACCAGGATGTGCTGATCCCTTTCTCCCCATGTACTGATTCCTCTCTCCCTCCCTGTGACCCAGGGCAGTGGGAGGTTTTTAGGGGACACCCAGCCTTGGGGGCACATGGTGGTGACACCTCCACCTCAGGGTCTCACCTTCACACTCCCCTGTCCTCAGGAAGCTCCTGGAGCAGCAGGTGGAGGAGCTGCGGCAGCAGCTCCGGCATTCCCGGGAGACGGAGGCGTCGCTGGCCAAGATGCACGTGGAGCTCCAGGCCAAGACCCTGCATGCCCTGGAGGATGAGAGGAAACTCGACCCTGGAGAGGTGAGGGGCTGGGGGGGGGTTCCTTGTCATCCCGGGGGTAACAGGAACATTCCAGGGGGTAAATGTACACCCGGGAGCTGCTGGAACAGGGGCTGAGGGGCTGAGCCCTTGGAGATCCCACTGATTTAACAGGAAAAGGTTCAGTAAACACATGGAGCTGGGATTGATGGAGGGGCTTCAGCTCCTTTTGTGTTCAGGTTCCTCACAAGGGGCAGCTGTCTCTGCTCTGGTGAGCAGGGATAGCATCCAGGGAATGGCTGGAGCTGTGTCAGGGCAGGGTCAGGTTGGATATTAGGAAAAGGTTCTTCCCCCAGAGGGTGGTTGGCACTGAACAGGCTCCCCAGGACAGTGGGCACAGCCCCAAGGCTGCCAGAGCTCCAGGAGGGTTTGGACGACACTCTCAGGGACAGGGTGGGATTGTTGGAGTTGTCCAGGATCTGGACTGGATGATCCCTGGGGGTCCCTTCCAGCTCAGGACATTCCATGATTTCATCTCATGTAGGTTTCCTGGGATGAAGCTCTGAGGGCACAGGAAGACTTTGTGGTTTCTTCCTTCCCTTTTTCTTGCAGAGTGTGGAGTTTTTTCAGGGAAATTTGGGCAGAGTCCATTGTCTGGGAGGATTCATTGCCTCCCTCTGCTCTGAAATTCCCATGGCCCCTCATTAGGGGGAGGAGGCCTGGAGGGCAGAATGGATGGATGGATGTGTGAGTGGATGGATGGATGTGGGAGTGGATGGATAGATGGGTGGGTGGATGGATGGATGGGTGGGTGGATGGATGGATGGATGGTTGGATGGATAAATGGATGTGAGAGTGGATGGGTGGATGGATGGATGGACGGATGGATGGATGGATGGATGGATGGATGGATGGATATTATCTGTAGTGGGAACCACTGGGATTGAGGAGAGAGAAGCTTTTCAGACCAGACTGCAGAGGGGAAGGGAGCAGAGGGGCTCCTGCAGCCACACACAATAAAGCAGAGCTGTTTTGCAGCACCTGCAGTGCCAGAAGGAGAACCAGAAGCTCTCGGAGCAGCTGTCCCTGCTGAAGGAGGAGAACAAGGCCCTGTACGAGGAGGGTGTTCGGCTCCTGAACCAGAAGGATCTCTATGTGAGGTGATGGCACAAAATCCTCCCCAGGAATTGCTCTTCCTGTGCCTGGCAGTGGATTTGGCCGTTGTGTGGCCTTTCCTGTCTTCTGTTCAGGGATTTGGCACCGGGAGATCCCCCTGAATCCATCACCCCAGTGTGCCGTGATGTCACACACCACGTGTCTGATGTCGTGGAATTCCAAATGGGTTTGGGTGGGAATAGACCTTAAAGATCATCTCATCCCACCCCTACCATGGGCAGGGACACCTTCCACTAGCCCAGGTTGCTCCAAGCCCCGTCCAACCTGGCCTTGGACACTTTCAAGGATCCAGGGGCAGCCACAGCTTCTCTGGGCAACCTGTGCCAGGGCCTCCCCACCCTCACAGCCAAGAACTCCTTCCAATACCCCATCTAACCCTGCCCTCTGGCAGTGAGAGGCCATTCCCTGTGTCCTGTCCCTCCATCCCTTGTCCCAAGTCCCTCTCCAGCTCTTCTGGAGCCCCTTTAGGCCCTGGAAGGGGCTCTCAGGTCTCCCTGGAGCCTTCTCTTCTCTGGTTAAGACCTCAGCTCTCCCAGCCTTTCCTTGGCAGCTGAAGGCAGCAGAGGGGGCCCTGGAAGGGCTGTGGGTGCCGCTGGTCAGGGTCTGGTATCAGCAGAGACCCTCCTTGGAGCTGCTCCTTTCTCCCCACAGCCCTTCTGTTCTAATGTTAAAGCCCAGCAGCTTTTTGAGCATGAATTTTGAGCCAACATGGCCAATTATCCCTTATATGGTAGAAAATTCTTTTGGTTTTGGACATTATTTTGGAAATGCTTTGGGTCCTTTTCCCTTAATGAATTTCCATTTGATTGACAATTAAAAATGTAACATTTCCAACAAAAAAACCCCCAAACTGATCAGTGAAAGAGTCCAGAAAGTCCATTCTGTGCAGGCAGAAGGAGCTGGGGGAGGGCTGACTGTCCCATTTCAGGCTTTGAGGAGCCTGAAGGAACTCAGGCCACCTCCTGCCATGGAGCATTTCCCAGCCTGAGGGTTGTCTCTGCTTCCTCAGGAAGTACAATGAGCTGCAGCTCCGGCACAAGGACAAGATCCGCAGGGCCAAGGAGACGTTCATCCACGAGGTGAAACAGAGGGACAGCAGGATCAAACAGCTGGAAAACGAGCTCAGCGAGTCCAAGCTCCAAGTGGAGAAGGTGAGAGAAGACACCGAGGGCTTCTCCAGTAAGGGGAGGCTGCAGGAGCATCCCTTCCTTCCAAAATAATCATGGAATGGCTTGGGTTGGAAGAGACAGTAAAGACCATCCAGTCCCACAGGCAGGGACACCTTCCACTAGCCCAGGTTGCTCCAAGCCCCATCCAACCTG